CTCCCGGCGCGATGCAGGTCGCATTGTCGGAACGGCGGCCGGCGCTCGTCGCTGTACACTCACATTCACCACCGTATCTGATGATTGCAAGAAATATATACACATAGTATACACAGCATGCGTTTAATTAATAGTTTCTGTGCACAATATTTATAGACTAAAAATTAGATAGAATATTTTCTAACCTGCCAGGATAACATTCGCACATTCCACATCTTCGATTACCAAATGAGCTACAGTCTGTCGAATTCTCAACAGTTGGACAATTACATTTGTTAATAACATTCATAATAAGCGTCAACTTTTCCTTAATACCTCCAATTAGAACATCGACTGTAAAAGTATCTGCTGGTATTTTATCTAATAGTTTTATCGTTCCTGTAAAATTGATTTTTTCACCTTTCTTAACGTTACATTCATTTCCCTCTGACGTAAAACAGTCTGGTTCGAATGTTATATCAATTTTTTTAATATATTCTGATTTCACTTCCAATTTTATATTCTGAGTTATTGCCTGTAAAATAATTAATTCATTTACTAGTTTATTATCTACAATTTCTAGCATCTTCTATATCAAGTGATGCCTTTGTAAGCATTATATTCTTAGGGCCTGTCCCACCAAATTGTAAATTGTCTAATAACAATCCACGTTGGAAGTTGGAACGTGTAAAATATGATAGAAGTGTTGGATTTTGTTACCTTATCTTATAGTGACGTCATTTTTAAGCTATCTGAACCTCCATCAGTGGTGGTAATAGCCCAAGTCTTTAGTATTACTAGAAGTGTAAGTACTTACCTCATAAATATTCTTTAAAATTTGATCCATGTCACTACTATCATAAGTAGTACAAAATGAATGTTTCAAAGCGTGGGTAAGCTTTGTATAATGATTTTGAACTTTAGACTCAACAGCGAATACTACTATTATTTGTTCGTCTCTTGCTAATTTGTTGATAATACCCACAGATGGATAATCCATCTTTGCTTCGTTTACATAAGTACCATTTTCGGTGTAGCATTTTCCATCGTATGGTTTCATAATGCCTCCAGCTTTGCCGTCACCAGCTACGTGGTATGATGCATCTGTTAGTAATACTATGATTTTTCTTGACTGTGTCCGCCAACCGATTTCCTCTTTGCACGCCATCACTTGGGCGAGCGCATCTAACGCGCTCTCGGGTTCGTCGTAATTTTTTCTCAACGGTGTGTTCGATAGTACCGTTTTAAAACTTTCATAGCTCTCTGTTAACTTCACGTGATGTTTAAATGAGTATGCAGCTTCATTACTTGTGATTTCACTGGAAATATTATATGATAAAAACAATGCAATCTTTTTTATATCACAAGGTGGGAAATGAACAAGCGAACATGAGTTTACCGAAAAAGCGAACCGTTTTGAGCCTACATACATCCGCAATTGCAGATGCGTTGCGTTGAATCTACGCAGGAGGAGATGCACTTACAGAGGACATTTCCC